AATTTGGCTGTATTTTAACTATGTATAATTTAAAAATAGCCATGGCAACTGGCTATAAAGCAGCTAAATGAGCAACAATCTGCATACCTTGGGAAAATGGATATTATGGACTTGAGATATTGTTTGTAATTTCAGGCTCCAAGTCTCTGTTCTAAAGATTTTAACAAAGTTTTGCAGCTCACGACTACCAATAATAGGTATCAGAACCGGGATAAATGTATATATAAAACACAAATATATTCATTAAGAGTGTATATCAACAACAAAAAAATCATTTTTTTGTTGTTGATATTTACTAGTTACTAACCTGATTAAATAGAGCGGGGCTAAGCTATTTTTTTCTCGGTTTCTGAGGTTCCAGTTCCACTCGACAAAAAAAATCAAGTGAAATATTTATTTTTCCATATATGTATGTACATTTGAAAATGACCGCAATCTCATTTAGCGCACAAAAATATCGATATTATTCGCTCCCAAATCGTGGTGGTTTTTCAAAATTTGCTCTCAATTCGTGGTGGGTTTTTAAAATTTGCTCTCTTTTCAGTGGTGAAGAGAGCATTTTTGTGGTGACTTTCCCCTCATTTTCGTGGTGTGAGAAACATGTTCTTAACGGGAACGCGTATGGAATGAAGATTCATTGTTGCGTCATTCCATACGCGTTCCCGTATGATACATTTGATTTGTATGGGAAAAATTTCAGCAACATGGGGAAATGAATTAGCAGCATTGCTATGCAACTTTGGCACGGAATAAGCAACAATCTGCATACCTTGGGAAAATGGATATTATGAACTTGAGATATTGTTCGAAATTTCAGGCTCTAATTAATGCAGAAACTACTAAGTCTCTGTTTGAAAGATATTAACGAAATTTTGCAGCTCATGGGTTCCAATAATAGCTATCAGAACCAGGATAAATGTATATATAAAACAGAAACATGTGCATTTATAGGTAAAAAAACATGTCAATCTAAGAAAAATACAATATTAATGTTTTAAAGCAGCTTGGAACAACAAATATAACAGCAATTAAAGGAAATAGGGTATACAAAAACCTATACGCATAGAAGAAACTTGGTTGACCAACAACACTGACGTCACAGTTAGTCAACATTTACGTTTTATGCTTTGGCCGCTTTTGTTTGAATCTTAATATGTAAACAATTTAATGAAAAATAGTTCTGAAAACTAGCCAATCCTAAACAAAATTCATTGAGGAATTGGATAAAATTATTGGTTTACGGCTGAAAGGGCCAACTATCTAGTAATATTAAACTGAATATCAAAATTGACGAATTTCATATCACAAAATATCACGGTATGGCAGCCCGCAGCAACTACGAATTGCAGGAGTCTGGTAGCGCCACAAAACGACGACACATTCGTTTTATGTTGTTTTTGTTTGAACCTTAATATGTAAACAATTTAATGAAAAATAGTTCTAAAAACCAGCCAATCCTAAACAAAATTCATTGAGGAATGGGATAAAATTATTTGTTTAGGACTGAAAGTCCCAGCTAGCTAGTAACATTAAACGGAATATCAAAATCGAGAATTATCAACGTTGACTGTTTTGAAAAAACAATCGATACTATCGTGATAGCTCTAATAATTATTAAAAAACCATTGAAACCTTTTAGGAACTTGTCCATTGTAAAAATTAGATGCCACCTGTCGATGATTTGTTTACAAATGTGTCTTCGTATCTTATAGCCGACAATCCAAACTTATCAAAAGCGCAACGACTGTGGCTCGATACTATCATGATAGTCGCACAACCGTCGATAGTAGAGACTAGCAGTAAAATATCGATACTATCGATAGTGCCCTCGATGCGAATAGTTAACGAAATTAATTTTAATTTTTGCGCGAACATACGCGTAATTTTATATTGATGTTTGTGTTTGTGTGTGTGTGTAACAGTGCTTTTGTGTCTATATGTATTAATTATAATTATAAAAAATGTATTTCACGGCGTAAGCGAAAAAATTATAATTTTGAAAATGAGTGGAGTGGAAGAAGAGTGGCAATAACTGAAGCGGCTTCGTGGTGACGCTTACGGAACAGAACAAAAGCAATCTGTTGGAGTGGGCCAGGGGCAGGGGCAGAGCAGAGCCACCACCAATACAGACTCGGGAAAAAATCTGACAAAAACTAGATACGAAACCAAAGTGCAAATTTAGAATTCTTACTACAAGTTCATGGGAAAAAGTGCTTGCTCCGCTATGACGGGGATACGTGGAGCCCAAGGTGTGCAGCTCGATGATAAGTGTAGCGCTACACTTGGCAGCGTTTTGAATGGCAGAAACATCACGATAAATGCATTCAGCGCGCACACAGGCACGCGGACATATCCACATATCCACATCCCGGGCGCAGGTAGCCGCTGCGCTGCGACTGAGCGACAGTCACCACAGTTGGGTTTTGTTTTATCTGTTTCCTCTCCTCTTCTCGATGACCCGTGGAACAGAGGCGTGCGTAGCTCTGGGCTGGCGCACACGTGGGATTCTTCAACCCCTTGGCAGGCGAGCCACTGTCGAGAAGTAGAAGCAGGCGGCGTTGTGGTGGGTTTCCACACCCGGTTTTGGGGCCCAGCAAGCCATATTTCATACGAGGTGTAGCAAGTTTGCTCACGCTGTGTGTGCTGAGAGTGCTCTTTGGGAATGGCTCATCTCACAGGAATGTACCTTGCCGGGGCCCAGCAGCAGCCCCAAGTGTGTTGAGTTTCGTTCGTTGGGGCCCGACCTAGCTCTGCACGCTATTTGTTCCGTTCGTTTCTTCAGTTTTGTCGGTGTGTGGGAGTGAGCAAGCTGCTGCGTGCGCTCTGTTCAGTGTAATGTAACGTCGTCGTTTTATGTGTCTGTGTTTCTGTGACTGTGCCTGTGTGCCTGTACCCCCCTCCGTTCAATTTGTATGAAGTAATAAACGTAATTAGTTTGTTAGTGCGCTCTTTGGGGCGAAAGACAAGTGACAGCAGCAGAAGCAAAATCAGACAGATTGCAATCTGCATGAGAACTATACTAAATGCTGACGCATCTTTTGATTTTCCGTACATTTCGCAGTTCAACACGGGATTAAATAGATAGAGCAAGAAAGAGGAGGAAAAACAATTACACATTAATTCGTCGGAGTGGAACCGTTCGTTATACATATATCCGAATCGGAAATCGGTTGGCGGAGTGCTGGTGTAGTGCTGTGCTGCAAGTGAAGTAACGTTTTCTATAAACGATTTCCGTGGCGATGTCCACCGCCGTCGAAACGGGGTCGTCGCCAGCCAAAAGCAACAACAATGGCAACAGCAGCGGTGGCGGCGGCGGAGGCGGCAATGGTAATCCCAGTACCAATCCGAAAGGTGTTCAGCGCCGTCAATTGGTGAGTACCCCCGTCTGTTTGTGTCCCACTGTTCAATTTTCCCATTTCCCCAATCTATCAATAAACTGATAAACACAAAAAAAAAAGCAACAACCTATGGCAATTATTGATAAGCCCCCGGTGCCCCAAGATGATCATTAGTTGTGGAAACAAACGTAAAACTCATCATTAATCTATATAAATAAATTGCATGCTCACTCTCCTCGGTCTCCCCATTCGGTCGCCCCTCCATCTCTCTCTCTCTCGCTCCCGTTGAGCATTGGAGCTCAACTGATGCCTCATGACCAAAAGCAGTGAGCTTTATTTGCCATATTTGCTGCTGTTTGTTATTCTCCTCTCCTCCTCTTCTTCTTCTTCTTCCACCTCTTGTTGGGGCTGGCTGGCTGGTGCTTGTTATTCTCTTCTCGTTATATACCCTTCCAGAGGGTATGTTGACTTTGTTGCAAAGTTTTATTGCACTGAAGAAAGAACTTGAGAGATCGTATGAGATATGCTCTATTACTTCCGAATCAATTCGATATCGAACGATCGATTGGTTAGAGTATCTACAATGTCGCCTCCAATTGTTATATTCAGGCTTGGCATTTCGTTTTCGTTTTGCTATGCCTTTGACTTTGCTACGATGTGGTGTGATTTGTATGTGTCTTGTTTTGTGAGCACGGTGTGGTGTGTTTCTTCGGTTTCTATTTCGTATCGTAGATAACAGGGCATTGTTGTTGTTGTTTTTGTTATTCTTCTTGCCCAACATATTTACATACACGCCAAGGGAGCTGGGAAGAGGGAGGGGGAGGGGATAGAGTGGTGTGATGGTCTGAAATAATGCTGACGTTGACACTACTCTGGCAGAAGCCGATAACCGATTTGATATCTTATAGTCAACTCTGATTAGCAACCGAAATTGGATCAGAGAGCAACAGCTGTTGCCACCGTCACCGCCTCCGCCTCCGCCATCGCCACCGTTAGCGCACTTGTCGCAAGAAAGAGATCCGTATGTATGCTATGTATGCCCTCCATCTCCATCTCCCTCTCTCTCTCGTTATCTCTATCTCTATGAATATTTAAGTGCGGAACGCAATGTACGCCCATTAAAAATGTATAGAGCAGAGCAGGCATGGGAGCATGACTAACCCCAGAGGGGAGCAAAGCACATGGCAGATAAGGGTCCGCAATTAGCACCTAAATAGAATACATTAGGGCCCCCAGGTGGCCCACACCAATTGATGGGGCGGGGGATAGGTGAAGGGGGCCTCGGTGACGCCACCCTGAAACCACTTGACTGGATTTGGATTTTGGTTTCTTTTATCCACATACGCACAGACACACAGGCACACACATAGTCACTACTTTTGTACCTGATGCCGGACACCAAAACAAGCTTTTCGGTCAGAAGTAGCAGCAACAACAACCACAATGAAAAGCCACTAAAAAAATCATTTAGAACATGCCAAACAAGTTTGCAGTGTGGCAAGCCGCTCAAAAAGGATATACCAGGCACACACACATGAACACACACAAACGCATACTCGCGCAAACGAGGGCAGAGTCGCATCCATGTTTTATAGATTTTTCATTGCACTTCCCCTCCCCCTCCTCCCCAAAAACTCCCCACAGCGACAGCGGCGGCGGCCAAAATAAACGCAAAGCAGGAGACATATTGTTGTTGTTGCTGCCTCTGCCTCTGCTTTTCCTTTGGAGCAACAGTCGTGCTGCTGCCGGGCGACGCTGTATCACCACACATGCATTTGCAAGTATATGCACGAGAATAAGTGTAAGTGTGTGTGTGCGTTGCATATGCAAAGTGCATGCGCACAGAAGAGAGACAGCAACAGGAGATGGGATGGAGCTATAGCTGAGGCGGGCGTTCAGGCCTTCCTGCCTGCCGCCCCGGACAACACAACTCGATTCCCATTGCCCTTTGCCAAGTGCCGCACGGAAATTGCCAGAAAACACGAACGAGCGAGCAGCAGCAGCAGCCCCAACGAGAACGTAGTTAAGGAAAACCCGAAGCCCCAAAACGATTGCGCAGCGCATGGTGCGTCGTCCATGGCCCCAACGAGCCCAATGAAAACGAAATGACGAGCCCCACAAGCTTTTATATACGCAGCGCCGAGGCAGAGCAGAGCAGAACAGAGCAGAGGCACCGCAGCGCAGCAGTGGAGGTGGCAGCAGCAGCGGCAGTACGTACTCGGAGAAAGTGATGGCGTTGGCAGAGTAGGATGGCAGCAAGAGAGCGACCAGAGAGCGTGTGCCCACTCAACGACAGTGTGGTGAAGAGAGGGAGGCATTTGTGAATCATTTTTTGATGGCGTCAGCAGAGAAGCTAGCGATGCCGCCGCCCTCTGTGGAGTGTATTTATAGGCATTTATCGCTGCGCTCCGGCTTTTTTCCGGCTCTCGGGGCCCCAACGGTTTGGTTTTGCTTTGCTTTGCATTCAATTATGTTATTGTCTTATCCCCTCTAGTATAATCTTCCTCTCTCTATCTCTCTTTCTGTCTCTGTCTCTTACAGCGCGAGCGCAAGCAGCGGAAGCTCTACCTTGACGAATGGTCACTGGGCGATGACGATGGTGAAGGGGCGCGCGGTTTCAGTGTGGCCGAGAAGCTCGAATCTTCAAAGTTTGCACAGGCAGGGATGGTGCGGGAGATGCGCGGCTGCGATTTAACCGTCGCGTAAGTATATCAATTATCGTCTATCGGTTGATCGGCCCACTGGAGAGAGATTCAACTGATACAACGAAAGAATCATGGATTGGGTAGCAAATATATTAACTTTTACCTCTCCCCCTATACCTTATCGTATTCAGATTCCTACAGCAACATGGCTTCAATATACCCTTACTCTTCAGAGAAAAGAACGGCTTGGGTCTGCGGATGCCCGATCCCCAGGAGTTCACAGTGGGCGATGTGCGGCTGTGCGTGGGATCGCGTCGTCTGCTGGACGTGATGGATGTGAACACACAGAAGAACCTACAGATGACGATGAAGGAGTGGCAGCAGTACTACGAGTGCCCGCAAAAGGATCGACTGCTGAACGTGATCTCGCTGGAGTTCTCGCACACGCGACTGGATCGCTTTGTGCAGAGCCCAGAGATTGTTCGCCAGATCGACTGGGTGGATGTGGTATGGCCCAAGCAGCTCAAGGATGCCCAGAAGGAGGGCACCAATCTGCTCGGCGGCATGATGTACCCCAAGGTGCAGAAGTACTGCCTGATGTCGGTGAAGAACTGCTACACAGACTTTCACATTGACTTTGGCGGCACCTCCGTCTGGTATCACATCCTCAAGGGCAGCAAAGTCTTCTGGCTGATACCGCCCACCGATCGCAACCTGCAGCTCTACGAGAAGTGGGTGCTGTCCGGCAAGCAGGCGGACATCTTCTTCGGCGACACCGTCGAGAAGTGCGCACGCGTCTATCTGACGGCCGGGAATACCTTCTTCATACCCACCGGCTGGATCCATGCCGTCTACACACCCACCCAGTCCCTCGTCTTTGGGGGCAACTTCCTGCACTCGTTCGGCATCGTGAAGCAGCTGAGGACGGCCACCGTCGAGGACAATACAAAGGTGCCGCAGAAGTTCCGCTACCCCTTCTTCACCGAGATGCTCTGGTACGTCCTCGCGCGATATGTCTACACTCTGCTCGGCCACTCGCATCTCGAGGGGGAGCCCTCGGCCAGCGAGGCGGAGATGGCCGCTCGTCCGCACATCCACCTCACGCACTACGAGCTGTTCGGGCTCAAGGAGATCGTCATGTATCTGTACGATCTGCCGCCGCAGAAGAAGAACGTGCCCAATCTCGTGCTGGACCCTGTGGCCCTCATCAAGGATGTGCGCACACTGGTGGAGCGGCACTGCAAGGACCAGCAGGATCAGGCCGTCACGGGCATGTCCGTACTGCGTACGGCCTCCGAGGAGCAGGCTGGCTTTCAGCTGTACGACCGCACAAGGGTCAAGCAGGAGATCAAACAGGAGATTGTCCGCAAGAATGCCGAGGTGATCCGCGAACAGCAGCAGCTGGAGGCGGGCAGGGATGGCACAGTGGCTGCCTCCGGTGCCGTTGTGGCTGGCATTGAGTACAGCAATGGAGTCTTGAAGAAGGAACAGCTGGAGAATGGCGGCGGAGCAGCAGGAGCTACTGGCCAAACAGGGGCAGGCGGAGCGCAACCAGGTGGGTTCGATCATGATCAGCATCCTTGTGGTTTACTTTACTAACGTGTCTTTTTTTCTGTCGAGCAGAGGCCACCTTTGTCCTGCCCACGGATACGCTCAAGTATCGTCCGCCCAAGAAAATGCATCTGGCAAATGCAGTGGCAGCGGCAGCGAGCAGCAGCACCACCTGTGGAGGAGCTGGAGGAGGAGGAGGAGTAGCAGCCGCTGGAGGACCTGCAGCAAACAGCAATAGTCCTCCCAATGGGGGTGGGGCGGCAGGGGCAGGGCCAGGCAATGCCATCAGTGTGATTGCCACATGTTCCAGCTACAATAATCTGAACAGCAGCGATGCGGCATCTCTGGACAACAACTGTCCCTCGCCCGGCGATGGGGCCAAGCTATCGCCCCATCTGACGGGCACCGGCCAGCCGAGGCGACGACGCACGCGCTGCAAGAACTGTGCCGCCTGTCAGCGCTCCGATTGCGGCACTTGCCCCTTTTGCATGGACATGGTCAAGTTCGGTGGACCGGGACGGGCCAAGCAGACGTGCATGATGCGCCAGTGCCTGTCGCCCATGCTGCCGGTGACCGCGCAGTGTGTCTACTGTCATCTGGACGGCTGGCGGCAGACCCCAGTCTCGCCGCAGACCAAGCAACTGGCCACCGTGGACGGTCCCTCGGCGCTGATGGAGTGCTCCGTTTGCTACGAGATTGCCCATCCCGACTGTGCGCTCTCGCAGCTGGACGGCACAGAGGATGCGGCCGATGCCAAGGGCATTGTCAACGAGGATCTGCCCAACAGCTGGGAGTGTCCCAGCTGCTGTCGCTCCGGCAAGAACTACGACTACAAGGTATGACTGACATATTTGAGGGGTTCCTTGCTCAAAACCAATGCTAATGCCATTCTCCTCTCTTGTCCCACAGCCACGGCATTTCCGGGCTCGTCTGAAATCCTCTGAGGTTCGTCGCGTCTCCGTTTCCCATGGCCCTGGCCCTGGCGAGGCTGGGCATGAGGGAACGGGCACGAGCACGAACAGCTTGCTGCCGCCACCCGTAGGACAGTACACGGACTTTGTCTTCACCAGCGAATCGGAGATGGAGTCTGGGGCGGCGGGTGGCCATGTTGCCCACTGGAAACACGGAATGAAGCGGCACCATCAGCTGGAGGTGAAGACCGATCGAAACAACAGCTGCGACACCCCATCCCCCGGAATATCACCGAATGCCGTGGGCGACAAGGTGAAGCGGCGCAAGAGCGACGATGGGACGAGCGTCAGCAGCAGCATGCAAGAGAGCAACGATGCGCCGTGCAACTCATCCGTGGATGGAGCAGCTGCTGGCGGAGGAGGAGGAGGAATGGCGACAGCTAGTGGCGGAGCCGGAGGCAGTGGTGGCAATCAGTGGAGTGGCGGCGGAGGAGGAGGAGGTGGGGGTGGCGGCGGTTCGCGCAAGAAGAACTCGATACGCTCCCAGTTGGCCCAGCAGATGCTCAACAACTCGAATCGGGTGCTCAAGAAGCCGCAGTATGTGGTACGGCCGGCAGCATCCGGCAGCTCGTCCGGCAACAATGGCAGTGGCGGAGGCGGCAGCAATGGCATCAGCAACGGAACAGGCCAAAGCGGCGGAGGTGGCTCTGCCGGGGAGCGTGGGGCCAATGGCAGCGGCACGAGCGGCTCCAATGGCATCAACAGTCTGCATCACAGCAGCTCCCTGGCCCTGGACCCCACAGTGCTGAAGATCATCTTTAGGTATCTGCCGCAGGAGACGCTGGTCACCTGCTGCTCGGTGTGCAAGGTGTGGTCGACGGCTGCCGTCGATCCCGATCTCTGGAAGAGCATGAACTGCTCGGCGTACAAGATGTCCGCCTCCCTGCTGACGGCCATTGTGAGACGGCAGCCGGAACACCTCATCCTCGACTGGACGCAGATAGCCAAGCGGCAGCTGGCGTGGCTGGTGGCCCGCCTTCCAGCCCTCAAGAATCTCTCGCTGCAGAACTGTCCCATTCAGGCGGTGCTGGCCCTCCACACCTGCCTCTGTCCGCCCCTCCAGACGCTGGACCTGAGCTTTGTGCGGGGCCTGAACGACGCCGCCGTCCGGGACATTCTGTCGCCGCCCAAGGACTCGCGGCCCGGCCTAAGCGACTCGAAGACGCGACTGCGTGATCTCAAGATCCTCAAGCTGGCCGGCACAGACATCTCAGACGTGGCCGTGCGCTACATCACGCAGTCGCTGCCATATCTCAAGCACCTGGATCTCTCCTCCTGCCAGCGCATCACAGACGCGGGCGTGGCCCAGATAGGCACCTCCAACACGGCCATTGCCCGCCTGTCGGAGCTCAATCTGAGCGCCTGCCGCCTCGTCTCCGAGAACGCGCTGGAGCATCTGTCCAAGTGCGAGAGCCTCATATGGCTGGATCTGCGACATGTGCCCCAGGTGAGCACACAGTCGGTGATACGCTTTGCGAGCAACTCCAAGCATGATCTGTGTGTGAAGGACGTGAAGCTGGTGGAGAGCAGGCGGCTATCGACCTCTGTGCGGTCGTCCCTCGGCAGCAGTTGGCATGACTAAAGGAGCAGACCTCCAGGGACAGGAAATAGGAATAAGACAGCCCAAAAAAACCTACAATTTAATGTTATACATTAGATACTATGACGATAGCACCTAGACCCAGCACTTCCCACTCCACTCCAATCCCCCCTCCCTCACCCGTGACACGCCCGCAAGGGAATGCCAAAGAGAGCCGAGAGCGAGCTCTTTTGCATATTGTATTTATTATATAGATACTATTATATATGTATGTACAACGGTTATGTGCAAGCTAGTCAGCCGGTTCCGGGGGATCACATCAGAGTTCTCTCGCGTCCGTTTCGCTTGATCTTCTACTCTCTCTTTTTCCTTTTGTGTACGCCCAACGATCAGTAGAATAATACTCTTCTCAGTATCCCTTCCCTTCCTTTCCATTCTGATCGAACATAGGACATAGCGCGTAGTGATTAATATTAGCATTCCCCCCATGATGGTAATTACATTTAATCAGTGTCATATAATTAAGGAATGTCTAGAACTAGCGAAAGCAACGGCACACACGGCTTTTTCTAGCTTAGAGAGTGTAGAGAGAGAGAGAGAGAGAAAGAGAGTCCTGCTACGTTTCAGATATACATATACTTAGGGCTGGCTATGCACAGTCGAACTTGTTCGCCTGTGTATGCCCTGCTTAAGAGTGCAATCAATTTGTGTTTTGTCCTTGTTTTTCCATGTACGTATCTCTGATTGTATTTCTGCAGATCCTTTAGGATTTAGTTGAACAATTTGCCTTATTCATGTTGATCTTAGATATTTTTTTGGGTCATGTCAAACGATTCCAAAACGATTTTTCGTAGTTTCGCGTCCCAATTTACATGCGCTAATATCGCACATATTTGATAAGTTCCGCCTGCCAATGATCCCCAATCCCCAATCCAGTCCCCCGTAGCAGTTAAATTAGTGATACAAAATGTGGCTAAAAAACACACACGCATATTTAACTTTAAAGTTTTACAGCATTAAATTACAAATATAGAATAATGTTTCAAGAACTAATAGCAATATACATGTATGCCCTAGTACTTGGCCGATTTGTATTCGGGTTCATCGCCAGCGTCACGGCCACCACCACCGCCATCACGGTCTTTGGGCGTCTTACGCTTTTGTATGATGGTCTGAAAGACACAAAGAAAATGGAAGGTTATAAAGAAAAATGCAATTGAGGGATGGGCAAATCCAAAACCCACCTGAATCTTCTGCCACTCCCGATCCAGTTCAGCCTTCTCGTTCTTTTCCGTCTTGTTTTTGCGCGTCTTGCGGCCATCCTGCATCTTAACGCCATACTGGAAGGCGGCCTTGGGCAAGGCCTCCTTGGTGCTCATGTAATCGGAGTACTCCTCCTGCGTGTCAAAGTCCCAGCGTCCGATGGGGCCCTTCTTGTTGCCCAGATCCATCTTGGTGTAGTCCACCTCATCGTCCGAATCGTCGATGGCGTCGTTCATCTCCTCCAGGCCCGGATAGCACTCGGCATAGCCTTCGGGTTCGTTGGCGAATCGCGAGGCCATGGCCTTGGATATCTTCGGGGGTGGCGGTATACTTGTGATGACCGGTTCCACCGTCTCCGGCGGGGCATCGCCAAAGTACGAGTTCTGTCCGGGAGCAGGCTTGCTGGCTGTGTCTGGACCGCCAGGGCGTGCGAGTCGATCGCCGCGCGACTTGCCTGTCGGCTGATAGTCACCCACATCGTCGTAGATGCTGTCTCCCTGGGGAGCAGCGGGCTTGCCTCCCTTTGGGTTAGCACCAGCACTGCTGCTGGCACCCGGTTGGGTGCGCACACTCTCCATTTCCTTCTCATAGAAGAGGGGCTTGTCCTTATCGCGCTTCTTATTCTTCTTGTTGCGACCGCCGGCCCGCAGATAGCTCAGAATCTGGGACAGCTTGTTGATGACAATGTCGTTCGTGGTGAGCGTGGCAATGTCCTCCCGCGACGCCGGCACCTCGAACTTGGATCGCTTCAGCGTTGTGGGTATATCAGTCTCGCCCAGCTCGTCGTCCAGATCGATGACGTAGGCCATACGGCCGGGAGCGAAGAGCTCGTTACGCGGCACCTCCTTGGAGCGACGCGCCTGTACGAGATTGTAGATGTTGCGCGCCAACGAGCCATTGATGGCGTTTATGTCCTCCGACTCCCTGCGCTCCGCCTCCAGTTGCTCGGCGGCTGCGGCCGCCTCAGCCAGCTTCTCCCTGGCCAGGGCGGCGGCGATTTCCTCCTCTTCGGTTTCTTTAGAGTGCAGCTCGGAGCGCACTTTCTGCAGCAGCGCGTAGTCGAGACCCTTCACCAAGTGAGTGTGCTGTATGTCACCGCCCAAGAACTTGGACTCCTGGATGATGCGGCGCCTCCGCTCGGCGGCATCGATGCCCGACTTCATGTCCGGGGCCACGGCACGGTAGGCATTGGTACTCCCTCCATGGCCGGGTGTGCTCGCGGTCGTGTAGTCCGGATTGGCATTGTCACGACGCTCGCGGGCGCGATCCCTGTACTTCTCCGACAGCTCCAGCAGCTTGACATCCTCCTGCTTCTTGAGGGCGGCATAGAAGTTCTTCTTCTTCCGCCTCAGGTCGTTGCGCTCGCTGCTGCTTTGGGTTTTCTTCTTGTCTCCCGGCGCCGAGGGCGTGCCAAAGGTAGCTGTGGCCAAAGAACCTCCTGCGCTGCCTGTGCTGGAACCAGGAGGCGGGGCACGTGGCGTGGCCAGCAGCTTGCGGAAGTCATCGTTGGTGAGGCGCACCGAGGGTGGCGCTTCCATGTGGGCTTCGGACATGGTCAGAATCCAGGAACAACCAATAATACAAAAAAGAAAAATCTATATTTACGAGAGCTCTTCTTCTTTGCAGTTTTTCTGCTAGGACTGATGCCACAGCTGTTTTCGATAAAGCACCAATTTTGCCATAGCGCGAAATCGATGTGATCATCGATGTTTTCCCACCTCTACGTGTATTTTCATATTTTTGCAAAATGTTTAAATTTTTGAAAGAATTGCCCAAAGTCGAGCTGCACGCACACCTCAATGGCTCAATTAACACCAATAGCCTGCGGGATCTGGCCGAGAAGGTGTACGGTAACACCTCAGAAGAGTTCTCGCAGCTGTGTGCGCGATTTATTAATTTTGAAAAAGATTCGAATATGGACAAATGCTTCGAGAAGTTCGCCTTTGTCCACGAGCTGACCTCGACCACCGAGGGGCTGCAGTATGCCACGGAGCTGGTCATACGCGACTTTGCCAACGATAACATCCAGTATCTGGAGCTGCGCACAACCCCAAAGGCCAACAACAACTACCTGCGTCGCGATTATCTGCGCATTGTGCTTGACACGATCAAAAGGGGCCGCAAAAAATATCCAAATATTCTTGTGAAGCTGTTGCCGTCTATAAATCGATCCGAGCCCGTGGCAGTGGCCGAGGAGACCGTAGCCTTGGCTGTGGAGTTTGCCAAAACCGATCCCGACCTGGTGGTGGGCATCGATCTGAGTGGGAATCCAACCCAAGGCAAATTCACAGACTTCAGTAATGCGCTCAACCTGGCGCGCAAGGAAGGCCTGAAGCTGGTCATCCATTGTGCGGAAATCGACAATACCCCGGAGATTAAGGAGATGCTGGCCTTTGGTATGTCGCGCTGTGGGCACGGCACCTACCTATCGAGCGAGGACATTGCCCAAATGAAGGCGGCAGACATCCCAATCGAGTGTTGTCTCACGAGCAATGTCAAGTCGGGCACGGTATCCAGCTTCGAGGAGCATCATCTAAAGCAACTCATGGAGGCCGATGCCCCCAAAGTCGTATGCACGGATGACAGCGGCGTTTTCGACACCACGCTGACAAATGAACTCTTGCTGGTGGCGGAAACATTCAACTTGACCCGCGACCAGTGCATTGACCTTACCATGGAGGCAGTGAAGCACTCATTTGCCAGTGATGAGGAGCGCCAGCAGATGGCACTCAAAGTGGAGCATTATGTAAACAATTTACCAGCAGAATAAAATTTAATTTGAATTCTTTGTTTTCGATTAATGGTTGCGCTCTGATCTAGATAAGCTGCTATCGATTAACTGGGAAAAGCACTAATTTTGCCATACTGCGTGGGATAGTGGTTGCAAACAAAATAAAATATTTTTTTTATTTTAGCAATTATGTCTTTACAATTCAGCGATTTGCTTTGCCGGGTGTGCCTGCAACAAGACGAGCTCCTGGTGGACATTTATGAGCATGTGGAAGAGCTTCAATTGGACTTGTGCTCGTTGCTGGAGAGTTGTGGCAACATCAAAGTGAGGTTTGCTCACCGGGTTTGATTGAGTTTCTATAAACAGATTTCGTTCCAGGTGGACCCGTCCGATGCATATCCGAAATATCTATGCCAGGAGTGCACCAAGGAGCTGCTCATCACAGCCAAGTTTCGCAAAAAGTGCTCCGAGACAGAGATACGACTGCAAGAAGACGCTGCACGTATATCGCTGATTTACAAGGAGGAAGATATTCTGGCGGATGAAGAAATTGTGGAGGAGGAGGAAATGTGTCTGCCGGAGGAAGGGTACGTGGCAGAGGAAATCATTGTATGCGATCCCAGCGACTATGCGGACCGGATGCCAACAGAGGTGCAGGAGGAGTCGACTGAAGAGGATCAGGCGCATCCGTTGTCGCCACTCGTCTCTGCCAGGTACAACTGCGACAATTGTGGTGCCGTCTTCCAGCAGGCCCAAACCCTTCGCAAGCATCTCGAGAACTTCCATGCTCTTATCACCATCTACGACTGCAAAAAGTGTGGTCAGTTCTACACGGATTTCGCCACTTACAAAAGCCACAGCTGCACCGATCGCTCCGCGGAGTCATCGCCGGACAAAAGCGGTCGGCATAGATGCATCCACTGCGGCAAGTGTATGCAGTCCGCCACCAGTCTGGACGAGCACCTTCGCCTGCACAGCGGCGAGCGGCCTTATTGTTGCGCCAATTGCCCAAAGACCTTTACGACGAATGGAGCCCTGGTCACGCACCAGAAGCGACACTTCAAAGTAATTCAGCACCACTGCAACTATTGTGGCCAGGGATTCGTGGAGTCAAGCAATCTCAAGCGCCACATAACCGCCAAGCACACAAAGGAAAAGCCGCACACCTGCACCGTGTGCCAGCGCAAGTTCTCCAGGGTCTATCTGCTGGAGCTGCACAGCCGCACCCATACGGGCGAACGGCCGTATAAGTGCAACCAGTGCCAGCGTAGGTTTAGCCAGCTGGGCGTGTTACGCAGCCACGAGAGAATACACTCGAATGAGCGCCCTCATCGCTGCCAGCTCTGCCCGAAAACCTTTGGTCGTGCGACTCAGCTTAGAACTCATCTGATGCGGCACGAAAGCGGTCAAGGTAAGCGGCATTTGATAGTTTTTAGACCTCTACTAATGCTGGGATTTCTTTCTAGTTCAGTGAAGGATCTTCAGTGATTGATTTTCGTTTTCCAACATTTGAAAAACGTTTGGTTAATCTTGCTCCCAAAGAGAACTCCTAAGACTCCAGCAGGCTGGCACTCGTCTCAAGGCAGGGCAATCATGGAGGAGCTATGAGGAATATCAGACAATCGATGGCATCGAGTGATTGTGAGTGGACCTAACATTCTTTGATTTTTTGGTGTTTTTAAAATAGTTTCTCGTTCATCCGCAGATTTGTCTTCTCCCTACTCCTGCGGTTTAGCCCATGGACCCCATGTATTTTTAACTAATTAAGAGCCTCTTGTTTTAGTTACTTTTTAAATTGTTTATTTGCATGCAGGTAAGATTTAGTAATGTTTCATTCTTGTAATTGGTTTACATTTGCTTTGATTCTGTAATTATCCTACAAGTTACAACAAATTACGTAGTTATATGCTTTGTTTTGCTAAATATATATGTAAACGTATATGTTGTATGTATACTTGTATATGCATATCCATATAATGTAATGTAAAGATGTGTGTAAGAGATAAACTTGTGTGCTCGCATTACGTTGAGAGCACAATTATTTCCCATTTGATTTCTTTCATTTCGGTGCTATCCGATCCTATTTGTACAATAATGTATGTATGTATATGTATATATATGTGTATATATTCATATATGTTAGTCATCGTTTGATTTGATTTTCATGCAGGTTTCGAATAATTTAATTCACTTAATTTTTAATTTACGAAATTATGTTTTCTTTTTTTTTTTTTCTTGTATTTCGAGTGCTGACAAGATTTTCCTATTCCAAGTTATGGCTCAATTCTCTTTGGGATTCGGCGTTCGATTCACGATCTCTCGAGCTAAACTTTATCTTCCGGTTTGGCGGCGGGTTTGCTGCTCTCTCCTTCATCCACATCCTACATCTGGTTCGGGGTTCGGGGTTCGATTTCAAAATTGGGGTTCAGGTCAGGTCGGGTCGGGTTGGGGTTGGGGCTTGGGTTGGTTTGGGTTTTTGGGAGTCACTTAGCCTACAAAAGCGTCGCCTCTGCCGAACATTTAATTGGTAAAATAAAAGATGGAAAGGAAATCATTATAGCCAAGAGTCCCGGCACTGACTTGGTCAGCAAGGGTTAGCAAGGATAACAACAAGAGGGTGAGCGTGATGGGTGCATAACTCTGTGCTCCATCTGATCCTTTACAGCGCTGCACTCAGCTCCGGCGTCCTGCGGTAATACTTACGCGCCTGCACATTCAGATCGTCCAGCAGCAGCTCATTGGAGGACTTGGAGCGCTTGGGGAAGATCAGGGCGTGCCGCAGTGGCGTCACATGGGCGATGGCCACATGGGAGCGCGACTTGGGCTTGGGCGGCGGCTTGGGTGCCCGCTTCTGCTTGTGCGAGGGTCGCCTCAGCTGCTGCACAAACGACTTGCTCAGCGTGGAGCCGCGATTGAAGTCGGCCGCCTGGTGGAGCTGCGTCTCGGCGGGATACTTCTGCAGCCGCTGATGCTGTTCCGACTTGAGGCGCTCAAACAGATTGGTCAGTGTTCTGGAGCGCGGTGGAGTCGGCGCCGGATATTTATTGAGATTCAGCTGTGGAGTACTATGCTTGGGCGTTCGCCCCGCTGCACTCGTGGTGGGTGTGGTCGAGGCTGTCTGCGCCTTGCTGGCAAACACATCGTCGTCCAGCTCGCTGAGGCTCACCAGCATGTGTTCGTCCTCGAACAGGTCATCGGTGTTGGTCAACGTCAGGCCCCCTGCCTCCTGCTCCTGCGAGGAGTCATCGTCGTAGCGGGAAAAGATCTCATCAAAGGCGGCGTTTACAATGAAGGACTCGTCCTGCAGCTCCTCTTCCACGCTGCTGGGCCGCGTCAGTGTACCAAACAGATTCTTGCGGTAGTCCTCGAAGGTGGACTGGTGCTGCAGCTGCTCCGTGGAGCGGGCCAGTCGCGGCCTCAGGTGGGCAGTGGCCAGCGTCTGGGTGCTGCAGCTGTTGGTTAGTGGTGGCTGTGGCTGTGTCTGTGCCTGTGGCTGTGGTTGGGACTGGGCCCGTGTTCGTGCTTGCTGCTGCAGCTTCTGGCGGTGCATTTGCTGCATGAGGCGCTGCCGCATCTCCTGCGAGCGGCGCTTCAGCTGGTTGTACTTGCTCTGGGTGGTGCCATTGCCATTGCAATTCGGTTCGTACTTACTTAGCTCTCTGTCCCGGTCCCGTTCCTGCTCGGCCTCGGCCAGGCGTCGTTGCAGGGCCAGCGTCTCGAAGGTGTGCACCACGCTGCCCACATGGGTGCTGATCTCCGGGATGCCCAGGTCTCCGCTAAACAGATCCGCATTGCGTTTGCCCAGCGTGGCATGGCCATGGCCGTGGGCGTGGCAGTGGCGCAGCGGTGGCACTGGACACCGTCGCACCGGATGATCTGTGGGAAATTGCTCAACAAATTCGGAGGCCTCCTGCTGCCAGAGAAGGTTGCCCCGCTCATCGTGGCCGCTGGCTCTGGCATGGCTGGTGGACTGCTTGGGAGGATGTTGGTGTAAGCATTGTTGTTGTTGTTGTTGGTTGTTGTATGTGTGGTTGTTGTTGTTGTTGTTGTTGTAGTTGTTGTATGTGTGGTTGTTGGCAGATATTTCAAGCAATTCGTTAATGAAATAAATTAAAAAAATCTGATTAGCATCGAGTTGGAGCCCAGAAAACACACAGCAAAATACTGTCTGCATCGATACGGTCTGCATTTGGTGTGCTTTGGATTTTGGTGCCTGGTGGCTGGTGAGCTTTTCTGAGAGGGCGGGGCCGGTCTTTTTTGGGGGGCAGTGGGCGGGTCCTGGGCAGGTGGACAGGTGGTTGTGGGGGGGCTGGGGCAAGGGCGAGGGACATAGCTTACATCTACAATAAATACATAACTATTTTATATAGGGCTCTTATCCATTCTATATACACATTAAACATTAAACAATGAACTGTTTGCGAGCTTCCATTGTGTTTTACTCGCATTGAAATAATTTTCCTATCAACTAAATTTAGTTTATAGACTATTTAAATATTTAATTTAATGAAACAACAAACAGCTGCCGAGCCCCACAATTGAAGAATAATATATATATAGTATATATGGTATATATAGATCTCCTTCATAAGCCATGTATGTACTTGTTTTATGTGTATGAATTTCGTAGCAGCAGCCACAAAATCAAATTTAAATCGGAGTCAGGATTCAGGAATGGCGGGCATTGGGAATGCCATATTACAGCTCGGTTTTCAGCATGGTTGTGGAGCAACTCTCTCTCAATCAATTTGATGAACCCAATTACAGGATGTTACAGTGTCTACTTTTGTGTGTGTGTGTATTTGTGTGTTCATTGATTGTTGTGTGTTGTGTTAAGAGGGTGTCCCAAAGAAGTTGATAAACTTTTGTTGAAGAGTTCCGACAGGCTCCAAAATGTGCTAGGAATAATGGGTTATTTTTGTGTATACTAGTTTTTACTATACATTTTTCATTTTTTGTATTTTCAACGCTTGCCAAATATGAATATTTATTGCAAAAAAATGTATTGAAAAATCACAAAAAGGCGTTACAATGGAGGTTAAACAATGTACGCAGAGAGTGTTACTGGTTACATTGCCTGTTTTTAAATGGGGGAGATTTTGTAACAGCAACCATAAATTATGAAGTGAAAATGATACTTTCGAAGAGCAGACAAAGTGTAACCAAAGGTCTTTTTATTTTTTTACTCATATTTTCTATTCTAAAGATTGGAAAATGGATGAATTTTTATAGTTTTATGTGAAATCCGTGGAACCAGCAACGCCATATGCTAAACCATTTTCGTGCGTGTAATTATTAATGAAATTTGTTAAAAAAAAAAAACTACGATTTTCAACTATTCTCATACAGGAAAGGCCTAACTTTTGGGACACCCTGTACCATCTGTAGCCAGAGCTATGTGTAGGTGTAGTTGTGGGTGTGGGTTGTTAGTGTTGTTGCTGTGTGTGTGTGTGTGATGGTGTGTGTCTAATAATAGTTATTATCAAATGGTAGGCTATCACTGGAGCTCGTGTAGTGTTGCTGCTGCTGCAATTGTGGCGGCTGGGGCAGCACCTGATTGCTGCAACCATTCCGCTTGACTGGCTTGTTGCCGTTGTTGCACTTTTGGTGCTGCTGCTGCTGCTGCTTGTGCATGGCCTTGAAGTCGTCCTGCGACTTGCTGTTGTTGCTGCCTCCATTCTTGGAGCTATGCTTGCCGCTCTTGTGGCCCTTGCCACCGTGCTTGGTGTGCTTGAGGCTGTGGTGCTGCTGTTGCTGCACATGCAGCTGGGGGTTCGAGTGGTCGCTGGCAGTGCCACTGCTGCCGTAGCTGTAGATCTGCGACTTGGACTGGCTGCGCAGCGGCTGCTGTTGCATGGTGGCCACACTGTAGTGATCCAGGCTGTCGAAGGTCTGCAGATAGTGCGGATTTATCTGGGTGCAGTAGTCGCCGCCGCCACCGCCGCCGCTCTGCTGCTTGCGATCGAGTGTGTTGCGAGTGCTGGTGCCACTGGGATGTGGCATGTGGGGGCCAGCGTTGTAGCTGAGATGCTGATAGTGCGACTCCACATTGACCTGCTGCTTGGATCCGTTCTTCATCGGCAGAGGCGGTGGCTGCTGCTGTGGCTGTGGTGATCTTCGGTTCGTGTTGTTGCCATTACCGTTGCCGTTTCCGTTTCCGTTCGACTTGAAGCTGTTGTTGCCACTGTGCAGCGTGAGGCTGTTGTTGCTGTTGCTGTTGTTGCTGTGGCTATAGCTGTGATTGCTGTTGCTGCACTCGGACTTCGTTTTGATGGCAATGAACGCATTGGGCAGCGGTGGCAGCATTGGTGGTGTACCCGATGGCGTGGCTGTCGATGAGGAGCAGCTCGGGGCTCCCAGTGCTGCTGTTGCTCCTTGAGGAACTGTTGCTGTGGCGCTAGCCACAACTGCCAGTTCCCTCTCCCGCTCCCGCTACGCGATGTGATGACCGCCAAATGTGCGTAGTACTGGTACGCTCTGATTTTTGGTTGTTGGTGTGGGGTTGGTTGGTTGGTTCGTTGTATTGTTCAGTTGGTGGTGGTGGTGTTGGTTGGTGGTGGTGGTGGATATTCACATTACAATTTGTTGTGTGCGTGTGGTGGTGTTGGTGGGTTGGTTGGTTAAAATGCGCATTGGTTGGCGGTTGGTTGTGGTGGTTTTGGTTTGGTTGGAAAATGAAATGTCAGAGCGTAAAAAGAGACGAAAAAAGGAAAAGAGTAGACACTTATCATATAAGTTGTGTATGATATAAGTATATAAAATATATATATATTTCTTTTTCTGTTTTTTTTTTTTTTTGGTTTGTTCTTTAATAGATAGAGTATACTTAGGTATCTTCGTGTGTGTGTGTGTGTGTGTGTCATTGATTGATTCGGTGGTGGGAGTAGGGGGAAAAGTGCGTCAGTTGTGGGGACATCGCGTTTATGTATGTAAAGTAGTTCTATTCGGTTTCTTGATTGTTCAGTTAGGTAGTTCATATATATACACACATATAGTAAGTACTATTGTAGCTAAGCTCTGACTAAGCTCTCACTTACAAGTGCCTCGGCTACTTGGTGCATTGTTAAATA